AATTTTCAGTTTTAATAAACAACTGATCTTAAATAGATGAATTCATACTTATAAAGTAAAAATTATTCAATTTCAGATTCATTAAAAGTGATCACTTAAGGATTCATATTACGGAAGTGGTGAATTTCCAATTCAGTATCTGTTAATCTTTTAACTAATATTGATGTGATGGGGTAAACTATCAAGTTATCATATATAATTTTTCAGAAGGCTGTATACATCACAAATTGATTTTTAGTTCTTCTTCAAGTGATGTCATTATTCTACGACATAAGTCACCTTTAACCTGCAAGAAGAATATCTTCCCCACCGAAAAAAACCCAGTTCAATAAAAGCTACAAACAGTTACTTTCAAGATGGATTTGTTGAACTATTAATGAAAGGCGCTACCTTTCAGACTCAGAAAATAAGTCAAGCGTGTAAAACATCAACTCACTACTAACATTTATTCAGACTCGGATTATGTCACAAACTGACGAAAGTAGAATGTCTGAATAATTAAATTTAGAATCGATAATGCTTTCTTTATGGCCTCAATTTCCTCAGTTACATTCTCAATAAGACCATCACTACTGAGAACAGCACTTATAAAGGTCTGATGACTAAAATAGTTATATATATATATATATATATATATATATATATATCATTTGGGTGAGACAGGAGAGGAAATGCAAATAAATATATTGTTAGATTGAAGTCGGTTGGAATCACTACATAGTTCTTTTTCCAGTTAAATTTCAAAACCAGATCAGTAATGTTAGGATTGCAAACAAAAAAGATCAAAATAAGTTTTTACTGATTGGTTACAAAAGTGATTGACAAGTCTGCATTTTTGGACAGATCACAAATATCATATAATTGTAAAAAAAATTTGTAATCAATAAACATGATAAATTAACAATATGTTAACCGATTAATAAGTGAAATAATTTGACATACTTTGTTTCAATATGGCTAATCAGATAAATGACAGTTAATTATGAATAATAACAATTTTTTCGATTAATACAAACCGGGTTATAGCTTTTATGAAACCATTAAAAATAAGAGTATATTGAATAACTTGTTCCTATAATAATGACAATAACAGGGTAATCAGAATCGTTCTTGAGGCTCTACCTAATGCTGTCATGACTAGATTTTCTACTATTTTATACATGCTCATACACTGATTGGAGAAGAACTAAAATGGACTATAAGAGTCAGAAATTTATATACTCATATGTATATTAAAGACATTTGCGATGACATATTTTATTCACTGATAGTTTGTGCTTTTTGTTCTCATAGAATTCTGAGTGAGAATTTCCTATTTGTCTTGATATCATGCATCGACCAATGTTAGACCACCATTGGAAACGTGGAAGCACTGGACCTTCAGTCTCGCTCTAACGTCTAAACTTTAAACCACTGAGCCGTCATCTGACGGTATTAATGTCTAACTCCAATCAATCCACGATACTGAGCGACCATTTTTGATTGTCTTCGGCGGGTAACTGCCTCACATCCGGCACGGTTGAACTCTACTGGTCAAGGCTTCTCACTTAAACTTCGGGAATTACCTCTCGAAGCTAATCACTAGTTAGCACATGATAATTATCAGTATAGGGTTGTGGTGTTCTAGTGAGAAGCTGCGACCAGTGGAGTCAAACTGTGACGATTTTGAGTCAGTTACTCACCGAAGACAGTAGAAGATGGTCTCGCACTTTCAGATGCTGGCTCAGTAGTCCATAGAGTGGGTGTTTGAACACGAGAATGAGGGCTCTGGGTTCGGATTTTACTTGTGAATTGTGGATGTGTACTGCTAAGGAGACCCATACTAGGGTGAAACATCCATTCAGTGCTCCTAGGTTTTCAATAGGGGTCTAACAAACTTTTGTGTTTGAAAACACTACCACTCGCGTTTTACTGCTGTATACATTGTAGTGTTTAAAGTAAAGCGTAGAACTTAGGCTGAACTTTGTAACGATTTTATACTTTCAAGCTAAATACTTATGTCTTAGCAACATGTTTTTAAAGATTGTATTAATACGATTTGGTAACTTATGTACTTTAGTTTTCGTCAATTTTTGATTATTTTACCCATTTGAGAAAAAAAGTCAATTTAATTAGGAATAATTAACTAGATAACTTTGTAGCACATCAAAGATACTCTACCTACCAAATTTTGTAAAAAACTCACTCCTTTTTCATCTTTTAATATTCCCGTTAAGTTCTAAGGAATATGCTAATTTTATCGAATTTACTACGGTTCATCTATTTGTTCTTCTTTTGTCCAGGAATTTGTTTACTCTTAGCTTTGTTCTTTTCTTTTTTCACATAAACTTAACCATCTTTGAAATGTTAAACTTCCATGTATACACATATCCACGCAATTCGTAATATTATTATTCCTATTGTTAAATGTATCATTTTGTCTGTATATTTCTAAAGTACGAAACTAATATGAGTTGAAGAATGAAATTTTTAAATGGTATAAACGAATAATTATCGAACGAAATTAGTCGATTAAATATATTTTTTTTAAAGTGAAAAAATAGGATGATTTAATGAAAATTATACTACTAAAGTAATATTAAGTAGATGAATAAATGATTATCTGTCATAAGATAAGGTTTGAAATGAGATTCTATCTTTCTTTCTATTCTATGCTAAATAGATACTCATGTGTGAGTAAATACAAAGACTAACAAACTAACATACACATTTTTAAAAAATGTAAACTTATACACAATTCAAGGTGTACAACCATAGATATTCTATTTATTCCAATTTTCGAAATGTTCATTAATTTTCCCATCATCTTTATTTCTTTTGTTATCATGATACAATTTATTATACCATCACTGAATATATATATATATATATATATAAACAACACTTAATAATAAATTATGACTTAGTTTATCAGGTGCAATTGACGTATCGCGGGAATTATAGTCCATTGTTGTTTGGTTGTGTTATTTGTTCTGCTCATTTTCTGTTAGAGGGCGGACATTTTTAAAATAAGAAAGAAAAAGGTAATAAGGAGAGACTAGAAATAGATTGTAAAATTAAAAAAAAATGAGCAAAGAAATTTCGATCAATTTTCCCCTTTTAAAATATATGAGTTTAAAGAGAATTATTTTTTTCACTAGGTTCTTAACAAAAATGAAGGTAAAAGGAAAATTCAAGTAGAAAAATACTTTATTAATAATAATAAGGATAATAATCATAATAGCAAGAAACAAAGTAAATTGAAAGGCCAATGAAGTGAACTATACATGGTAGAAGTTGTTTAACTGAGTGAGGCTAAATATTATTCCCATCCATTCTCTTCCCTTAACAACGGAATTAAAATTTTCTCCTATCGAAGAATGTAAATTATAAATAATGTCAAGTTATATGATGTAAAATGAATGCATAAACTGTTTTCTGGTGTTAAATTATTCTCTCTTTTAACCGGTTTGACTACACCTTTGCTTAACCACACTAGGAGGTGCTCACGAGCCCGAATATACAAATTCCTAGAACATCTGCCTATATAACTTGCACGACAGGAGCAGTTGAATTGATAGATACAGAAAAAAGTGGCTAGTCTAGGTAATTCGTCTTTCAACATCGGAGTGATCATTGAACGTGTGGAGAACATTTCTATATCTATCGATTCAACTGCTCCTTTGGGGCAAGTTATATAGGCAGATGTTCTAGGAATTTGTATATTCTCTTTTCATTGATAAACTTTGGAAAAAATAACAATCCTTATTGTAAAAAAATGAGCAAAATCTCAATAATTTAATTTTTTCGATCATTTTTAAAGTTTTCTTTTTTATGTATGAGAAATGTTTGAACAGATGTATGTCGGAAGAATGATGGAACTCTTAATTGATTGATTTCTTTTTTTTTGTTAATCAACAGTAAATATGAATTCATAATCCATGGAATATTAGAATGCAAGGTTAATTTTTCTATAAGAATCTATGAATGTAGAAATTAGTCACTTGTTAGTGTCCAGTTTAAATTATTAGGAAATCTTATGTATATCATTCATATTGTTCACTTTATCTAACTCATATGAATATACGTACATTTTTGAAGTGTTAGTGTATTTATTGATATCTCTAAAGTGTGAAGTTTTATTCAACTCTCTGAAGAAACTCTTCGATGAGTGTTTCCATATGAACTTGAAATAATATTTTACAACAATCAAATTAATGATCTAAAATTCTTCCGACAGTTTTGTTTACTTGTAGTTTTTAAAATCATTCTTATTTCTAGTTTCTTTGTAAAGTTGTCTGCTAATGATTTTTATCGTAACCAAGCTCCAACGTAACTTGATCTCTTTCGGGTGAGTATATTAGCTTTTGAACAATCAGGAAAGACTGTTGTAATGGATGTTACGAACTGAATTTGGTTTGTGATGGTTTGGAAAGATATCATGCTTGCTAGTCTTATATATTTTGTTTCATATGATAAGCTCGTTTGTAAGGTTATGTGGAAGTAGTGGTAATAAACATCTTATGATATTGACTACAATAATGAATTCTTTCTCAGCTAAAAGGAAATTAAATTTTACACCAATGCTCTTAGATCTAGGTTTATGATAAAATCACCTTGTTGTTAGTCAAATCTATACAAACTCATGTTTATAAGAATAAACCTATAAATGGAAACTTGAAAACTTTACATTGATGACGTGACTTGGTAAATATATTGGGTTGAACTCAAAGTTAGTTGTTTGTCGGTTTCATTTGAGGAAGAGAATCAAAAACCATGGGTTCTAAACTATAAGATTTCCATCCATCATCTTAAAAGTTAAATAGTTGTCACAGAAGTTAATATTTAATTGTCCAATTGAATTTTAAACTATGGTCATAATAAACATTTGCTTATGTTATTTCAAGATGACAGCAATATTTTTGTTCCTATAGTCTACGCAATGAAATGAGATTTTTATTTTTATTTTCCTCAATTTTTGACTACATCAATGTTTAATTAATTTTGTTTTATGTATACAGTCATCTGTGAGTCGTAACCAAACGGGACTAAGTGGATTATCTAATGCCACGTCTACTGCAGTTATCCCAACTTCCATTGTTGCTGAAGCAATTACTATAACTGGAATTCCCACTGTAACCGATTCAAGTGAAAGTAGTTCAATAGAATCTTATTGTGATTCACAAGTTAATTCTCATTCAAATTTAGCTCAAGCTTATATGAACCAGTCTAACTTTTACAATATAAATTCTCACGATGAAAATAATACATGTTCAACTATTACTAATAATACTAATACTACTTCTACTACAACCACTTCTATGAGTAGTAAAATTCATACAAATGATATTGACAACGATAGTGTTGTAATTAATGAAGATTCTGATAAATCAATGAATTTCCATTCAAATCCATTTGATTACTCCCCTCAATCATTATATACAAATTCTTATTATAATCAATATTTCTCACAATATATACGAGATAACATTCCTCTGAATAGTATGTTACCAAATATGAATGACACTTTAAACTATACAGAATCATTAAATAATCACAATATTAATAATAATCATACAAATCGAAACTATGACTATTCGAATCCTTGTGGATTTTATTCAAATTTTTTCTTAAATTCAAATAACAATATACATTCTAATGATATAGTTGGTAGTTGTTCTTCATCTTCGACAAAAATGAATTCATCTAATACACTACCTTATCATAGTCAAAATCAAGATCATCATGTTTCTTCTCATCATCAACATCCTCATCATCATCAGCATCAGCATCGACAGTATGACCAATTGCGTAATCATTACCATTCGTTACTTAATGATGCAATAAGTAAGGATGACTGTAACGATTCCAATTCAGTACATTCAAGTCAGTCTATGCCAAATTGTTTATCATCAACAATCAATTCTACAATTCAACCGCTTAATTTTATTGATCCTTATATCGATGTTTCTGATGATGTACAGTCACGTTCACATGAAAAAACTCATCTACAACATGAAACTAATCAATTAGAGCATAGTCCAAACTCAATACCATATTTACAACATGGATTGCATTCTCATTATCCAATACTTTCTAATAGTTCTTCAATTTTAATAACATCAACATCACCATCATCGTCATCACCATCATTATCTACATCATCCTTACAATATCATAATCTTTATCAATCACAACATTTTCCATCAAATCATGCACATTCATCTTTATTACATAATTCACAATATACAGGGTATCGTACTAATTGTATACCATCAAGACCAACATCAAGAATTCGACATACTAAATCATCTTCTTTGAATGGTTCAATTCGCAGTGATAGTTCATTAAATGATGATATACAAACAGATAGAATTGGGCTTAAATCAAATGAATTAGGAATAGATGAAACTGGTCAGTGTTTATGAAATTATTTTGAATAATTCTATACGTTAAATTCACTTAGTATTGTTTGTTTGAATCTTCCCATTGATACTTAGGACTGCAACTGGTCAGTCTCTAATTAGCATATGTGCATACTGTGCGTATTGCCTCGATATAGCATTATAAGCAAAGATGGATAGTGGCTAGCAGGGGAATCCTAGCTGAGTGGTAAACGCGATGGTGTTTCAAGCGAAAGGTACTGGGTTTGAGTTCCAGCGTGAACACAACTCTGAGATGCAAGTATATCCAGCTGACGAGTTCGAAATAGGACGGAACGCGCGTCCTGGATTCCACTGCTAGCAACTATCCATCTTTGCTTATAATTTTATAAGTTTACGAAATAAGTTAATTGTTTTCATGTTATTGATAAAACTGAAATTAAAATTTCATTTAGATGAAAAAAATTTTTTCTCAAAGTGATGAATTCAAATAGAATTTACCTTAATTAAAATTTCTTAAAAAAAACTTTAGAAATAAAGAAAACATTCAATGAATATTTAAGTGTAGTCTAAAATTTCAATTCTGTATTTTAAATTTAGATTGGTCAAATTTAAGACCAATTAACAATTAAAGGTTTTTTATATAGTTGAGACCATGAGTCAATTGAAGCTAGACCACCATGGAAAACCTGGAAGCACTGGATGGCCGTTTCGTCCTTTTGTGGGACTCCTCAGCAGTACGAATCCACGATCCCGCCCCACGAGATTTGAACCCGTGACCTATCAGTCTCGTGCGTGAGCGCACATGGATGTACGAATCTCTCAGCATTTTTTTCACTTCTGTCAGTTAGTTCATGAGGTCCCAGGATTTCTTAATATCCGGTGTTATGCATTCCGACTTTGGCGTTTAGATCTCTCATCAGGATTGTCATTGGTTTGGCTAGCACTTTTCTGTGATCCATTAAAGGCTCTCCACAAAACCCCCGTCTGAAAATTAAAGGTCTAGACTTCTTTTTTTTGAAAAATGGTTGACTTTTTTGGAAAAAATTGAAATAAAATTAATTTTTATTACATAAGTAATAGGGTTTATTATTTCACTTGTTAGTGTAAAAAATGTTTCCGTTCTTTTTAATCACTTATCAGTTACTAGATCTCTTTTGAATATTGTTGCTATTTGACAAATTAATGAAATAAAATATTTCTGTTTTAGACGATAAACATTAAGTAAATGGCTATGTAGTGAAAAAAGCTCATATTAATTGGTTGGTAACAAATGAAGCATGTACTCTATCGATTTCTAAAGACTTGTAGAGTAATTGATAACCTTTGATTATGTATTAATATCAGTATTAGTATTAGTAGTAGTATGGGTATTTATAGTGTAATGGCGTAAGTATTACGACTGGTAGTTGTAGTAATAGTAACTTCGCTCTGCTGAAGAGTGTTTACTAATAAGAAATCTACTGCTAGGACTTCTTACCAATCAGCTTTCAATGATTTAACATTTCTTCAACTTCAATCAATCTTTTTATACTTTACATATATTTGTACTTTGATGAAATATTCATCCACTAATTTTATACCAATCATCAAGCTTCATTTGCAGATTAAGAGTTAATTCTTCTAAATAAATGATATCTGAATATCAGTTTAAAATTATTCTGTGTGGGTTAAGAGGGTGACAATCATAAAATATCACTTTTTCTCAAAATGGTTGAAAAGCTTTCTTTTTATGAATGAGCATATTCTAACTAGATATTTATAGGCAGATACAATGATTTTCTGAAAAGTTTTAAATGCTTCCTATTCAACTTCCATTCTGAATTGATTTCACCTGGAAAGCCGTTTAAAACTATATATATATACGTTACAGGTTAACTTTGACTGGGGACTCTTTAACTGGTTACCTGGAATAGTATGGAAAGCAGAAATAAGCTAACACAGTTGTCACAATTCAATTCAAGATAAACTATAGGTTTTGTGCTATTAACTCCTTTATAATTTGTTGGAATGAGTGAATGATTTAATTCGTACATAAATAAACTTGTGTAAAAATAGAAAATTTTCATTTAAGAATTTACGGGCATACTAACCGATCATTTTGTCCTGTAAAATGATAACAATTGAATGTTTTTCACCCAGGTATTTCAATAATCATTGAAAGATTGATTTGTATATAAATCAGAAATCGGATATATATATACTTTCCAGTCACTCATATGAAGCGAAATACATCACTTTTGTCCAAATAGTTTTGATTATCTTGTAGTAATATACAGTTAGCATTACTTTTATAATTAATTTTAAAACAATATCCTAAACAATGGATTAACAATTACTTGTAAAGTAATATTTTATTAAAATCCGCTAATAATCAAGGTATTTAATCTCATGACCACTTATCGATCACACTATCTTAATTGGTATCAAAAAACTTTCGGACTTTTTAATTGCGCATGCGTCATATTATAAAATACCAGTTGTCATTTTATTAAGTACAATATTTCACATTTGAATATTACAATGAAGAGGATTTAATATTGAACTCTTTCTGTAGTATTACTTTCCTTCTATAAGACAATTAAAATTAAAACCGATAAAATTAACTGTTTGAAATCATTAAGTAGTTATTTATCAAGTAATATTAACCAAGGCTTTGATTATAGAAATGACAGTGTATTTAATAATGTATTATTATTTAAATTGAATAAAAATCTAACCAATTGTCATCGAGTAATCATAACTAAAAGACAGTATGGAAAACCTGGAGGCACTGGACGGCCGTTTCGTCCTATTGAGGGACCCCTCAGTAGTGCCCATCTACGACTCCGCACTCGCGAGATTCAAACCCAGGACCTGCCAGTCTCCCGTCAGAGCACTTAACCGATAGACCACTGAGCCGGCATCCAACGGTGTTAATGTCTAACTTCAATCAATTTACGATTTTGAGAAACCGTTCACCGATTGTCTACAGTGAATTGATATCTCTACAACCGACTTGGTTGAACTCCACTGGTCACTGCTTCCCACAAGAACTCAAGTGTTGATTCGTACTGTTGAGGAGTCCCATAATAGGACGAAACGGCCGTCCAGCGCTTCCAGGTTTTCCATGGTGGTCTAGCTTCAATTGACTCATGATTTCAACTATGAAAATACCGAAATCTACACAAAACCCCTTCTAATCTAAAAAGTGGTAGTCAATTATTGTATAACATGTTTGACGTTTGAAATTAAAAGTACTAAATCTGATCTCTAATATGAACATCAACACTGGGATCCAGCTACATCCAGTTGATGAGTTGTCAATATGACAAGATAAGCTTACAGGATTCCAAAAATGGAAATAAACCATCATGAATATTAAGTGACCTATTTAGAAATATACATTATATTGATTAAATAAAAAATACACTTTAGAAAAGAATAGATTGTGCATATTTCGTGTTTTTTTTGTTTTTTTTTTACAAATAAATTTTAAAAGTTAATTTTTGTATTATTTTACAAAAACAAAACAAATCACAGTTTTTTTCAGAAAAAAAAGAAAAAGATTAGCTCATTTTTGTATTTTCGATTGAAACTTTTCTATTTTTTTGAAAAAAAAAGTTTCGATTAAATGTCAAAATATTTTTGTACAAAATTCTATTTAACGAAAACATTTTTTCCCTCAAAAAAATATGAGTCAGTTAAGTTAACTTTTATTCAAATGTATTAAAAGTGAAGAGAATAAGTGAGTGAGCAACTGTAATACCCATTTCCAACAACCATTCGTATATTTCCTTCGGTATAATTCCTTCACCATAGAAAAAGTGCACAATAAATAAAAGCAACATAGTACAAAATGATAAAATGAAATGACAAGTGATGTTTTATTTTATTTTAAAAAAATAAATAAATAAAATAAAATAATAAATTTTACAAAATCTCTTGTTTATTTCAGTTTTGTTTTGCATATGTTTAAAAGAAATAGAATGAAAAGAAAATTTGTATTTTTGACTAAATATGAGAAGGGATGAATTATAGAATGGAGACTAAGCAGATTATTATTATTCTTTGTTTTAATATATTTTGTGACTAACAGGATATATATATTAGCTGACATTGTTGACTAAGAGAAAAGCAAACACTACACATACTGACATTCCGCTTATCAAACCGCTCATCCTTTAACTAGTCTCTACTTTTGCTTCTAAAGAGAAGACTATGTATATATATAATGAAACAGTGAATGGATAACTAAAGGGTAAAGCTTGAAAAAAAGACTGACGACAACAGAATGAAAGTCTTCCTCATTGTGCATTCGATATTTGATTTTTTTTCCAAAATTGAAATCATAATTATTCTTTCGTGTATGAATGTATAGTCGTAGAGATATTAAAAACAATAACTGGAAAATGTTATTTTTTTCAAATTGAAAGTTGTTTAGTATTTGTAATTATGTTCCACTTTAAATCTTAATATGGTTTTCGAAAAAAAGGAAAACTACGTCAGGAATTATTTAGTCTGTGAAACAGAAGGGAGGAAATATTCTTTTGCTTGTATCTGTTATATATATGCTCTTACTGCTTGCCAATAATCGTGCTGATTAGACAAATCGATCAAGTTATTTTATACTAAGTGCAATGATTTAGACAAAACCTAAATATTATATTCAATATCTGATTAAATATTCTCTGTTTTTTATAGCAATCATATATGTAATGATATAAAACACAATCATGTACACACATATACATACATCTATATTTTAAAATGCTCATTTATGATCAAGTAATCATTGTTACAATGAACACTAACGCAATTATGAATTAGATCATTTTTAAAAATAAATGTTCATTAGCTGGAAGTCGAATATCGATAAAGATTTATAACTGATAGAAAGGATCAGAATGAGTTTAAAAGCGTATATATATTGATAGGACTGTAAGTGTCACTGTAACAACTAGGTCATAATACTGACAACCATTTAGTAAACAGTTTTTTCTATTTTATAACTAGATGGTAGAATCTACTAATTTAAAGGTTTCATTATAA